TACTATATTGATATATATTTTATGTGGTGCTTCCTTAAATATACTGGTATTCGTTTCCTATTTCATTAAAAAATGTGCATTTTCTATCTCATATCTCTCTCTCTCTCTCTATTTATAATACATCAGGATATAATATCACAGCAATGTATTAATGCTTCTTATACATGACCTGTTATATAATTTGTATTTAGATGCTTTATTCGGGATCATTGAAACGTTTTACATTTTACAACTCTTTTGTAAAGAAGGTTTGCTGTTCCTATATACTCCCCAGATCTTATATGAATGAAACATTGATTAACTTAGCACAAATAAAAGTGTGATGAAAGTGAATGGGAGAAAAAGTAACATAATAGTATTAATGAGCCGAACAGTGATACACCACGATACACAATACGCCATTGTGTAGGAACAGATTTTTTATCACAATAAGTTAACGACATATGGAACTATATTATTTGCTGAAAAGTAAAAGTGGCAAAAGAGATAGCGACAATAAAGGAATTGAAAGATATTAATTATTTTATTTAAAGCCGTTTTCCCTTTAAATATACTAAATAAATCGTGCCTATTGACGACACGCATAAAAATGGTAAAGGTATGCAGGGAAAATTGAAATATGAATAATAGGAAGAAATATAATATTTAAGAAAATAAAATTTTAAGATGAGATATGTTCTGCAGAATAATTTCCTTGTATTACATGTGTTTAAGAAACCCCTCTCTGCATTCAATTAAACATTAGATATAATTTTATAAAATTTTGGGTGAAATATGCATACTATTAGCATATAACACTCAGGTGGTCATGCACATTAGGATGATGAAGATGATGATTATGACGATTATCATGACGACGATAATGTAAATTGACTATGTGACTATATAAATGATGATAATGTGAAATGACTATAAGAATGATGACATTTATCATTTACATTTTCTGTGATTGTGAAACATAAAGAAAGCTGGTTTTAGTTGAATCCCCTGGGTGTTGTTACAAATCACCCTTGAATGATTGATATTCGGGAATAGGTTCTGATACCTTGATCATGGTTTTCTTAGAATCATAGATTTTTTTAATTAGAATGTCCATCGTTAAAATTTATGCAAAAATTAAAATTTCATACTGGTATTTCTTTGATGTGACATTTTTGATATTTAATGTCTGATTTCCACATTAACGGCGGTTAAAATGTCGCTTGGCGTGTTTATATGAGTTATACCAATATTTTTCTCTGCCACTTTCACTGTAGGACTATAATGAATTGGCAGTTTTACACATTGGAAACCGGAAATGACGTTATATATAATAAAATACGTCACATCCCATGGACGCATCTGCTCTATAAAAAAACTCATCAGGATTTCAGACGAAGGTAGCCAAGACAATAGCAGGTGTGCTTTGAGGATTTAATAATTATAAATAAGGTAACCGCAAAATATTGGAATCTTGTTAGAAGCAGAATTCCGAATTTAAAAAAAAAAAGAAAAGAAAAGAAAAAGCAAACCACTGCAGTGACTTTATATGAGAACCCAATCCTTTCATCCTTATTTTCAGAAGTTAGAGATGGAATGTGCTGTTTGATTACATTAAGTCCTCAATGTGGTCAATGTAAGCATTCCTCGTCTTAGCAACCTAAACTAAGAACGCCGCTATGTAGATAACAAACCCCAACCTGACGGATGGTCATAATCCCGAAAAGGAACGTGTTTAGAATTAACAAAATTATGAAGAGATGGAGAAACAGCCTTTTATGCTTGCTCCTTTTTAGAAAGCATTAATATTTTTCCCTTTGAAAAACTTTCAAATCATAATTTAATTTTTCAGTGATCTGTCTTTTGATGGTAAATTGATTTGAGAGTAAGGATAGAGAGTTCAGGATATTTCTAAGCACCTCGCAGCACTGACCTAGCCACACCTGGCGGGACCCTCTGCCAAATGCTCCTTGATTTATGTAATACGTTCTACCGTACTCAAATGTCGCATCAATAAAATGGACATCAATTTTAACAGCTGACTGATAATGCTTCCTCCGATTTCCAAGTGAAATCTTAAAAGTAGATTTATGTTCATATATACATAAAAAAAGTGTTTTCATATTCTCCTCATCCTAAAGTATATGTCACCTTAGTGTTTTGCAAATAAAATATAGAAAGTTAATTAAATATTGTATTTTACGTATCTTCGTCAGATCTTTGAAAGACAGTGTTACATGTAGTGCACACCAATTTACTCCTATGCAGCATTTGTACACGGTTTACAGTAGTCGACAGTGTCTTGGCTGATCGTTAGTATCATTATAATCTGTAACTCAGATCTGCACTCGATATACATCCTCCAATATTCGAACGATTTCGCTGTTAAGTAACGCTTTCTTATGCATATGACAGCTGATCAGTCATTTAAGAATGCAGATATTCTAAGATGTTTCGAACTTTAGAACTAAGAGACTTTTGTATACAACAATATTCCTACACACACCTTTAGGTACTTAGTAAGTGATTTTCAGCATCTTGTATATTACATCTTTCTAGGACACATAAAATCATTTGAATTCAGTATAATTTTATTCCTTTAAATGTATTATTTTATGAAATTTAACAGGCATATCACCAGAAAAACCATGTAGAATAATTTCCCCCTGTTTTATGTTGATGAATTTTAACAGGTATATCATCAGAAAAAAAAACATATTGAATAATTTTCCCCTGTTTTATCAAGTGTGTTGATTAATGTAGAACACATGGAGCGCAAAGCAATTTACATACCCTTGTACAAATACCCAAGTTTTTTTTTTTCCTTATGTTTGAAGTTTAAAGTTTCTCAACCGTTAAGAGTTTTAATATGTGTACCACGAATACCCTGGATAAACTATATGTGTAAAATAAACCGACCGGCTTTAGTCTTGCATGAAAGGTTCGGACAAATCCAGGAGTATGTAAATAAAAATGTCCTCGCTTCTAAAAAAAAGGGATAGCTCAAATCATCTACAAAGACATTAAATGTTATTTTTGTTGTTACTTTGATGTCATCAGATGATTACAAGTATTCTAATTAAAATTTAAGACTTTTCTGCAGCATGTTCATATCAAGAAAACGAACTTTTCCTGTGTCATTCCCTATAGCCCTAGTCACCCTGGACCTTCTATAGTCCTTGTGTAGCAGTCCTGTGTGCACACATTAGTAATTCTATCTCATCGTTTCATTTTTCTTTCGCATTGGCAGGTGACAGTGCCTGCCTACAATGGACGAGAAATGACCTTTTTTTGTTTTAAATCAAGGAGTGGAAGAGAAACAACATTCTGTTGGCTACAATACGGTCCAGGTTGTTTGATCGGCGACTTAGCTGATACCTGATCCCGTACAGATTAATTTGGTCGACTCATTCCGTTTATTGTGATAGGGTTTCTATGCTATTTCCAGTAACTTTTGCTCTAAATCACAAATGTCCACAGTACCTTTGATATGGGCACCCGATAACAGGCTAGAACACTGCTGTAATATACCTACACCGAGCTACTGTTTTAATTAGATTTAAGGGGTTATAAACAAAAGTGTAATTCTTTCAATAAGATGGTTCGTGTGATTTATCGGGAAAGCGCCAAACGACGTTTTATAGCCATGCCAATGGACAAGGACCTATGTTAATGGTCCATCGCGAATTCCAAATTTCTTTTATGTCCGGTTGTATTGGAGTGTGAATTTTCTAATTTTGATATATAACTCTGAACGGACTGTCTAATTTTTTTTTTAATTTTAACACTGAATTTCAATATCAACTTTAGTACTCAGAAAATCTGGGAAATTTATCATTTGTATAAAACTCTATTTTCCCCTTAACGATCGGTTTTCCGTCAAGAATGGCGACAAAAATGTTATCAATTGGATCAGCAAGCCGGACTCGGCGCGATGCTCTTGTGTTGCTGTGATGTAATTTTGCGGAAATTAGCGATATCCCTGAGAACCCGTTACTGAGTAGGGTCGGATCTGTAGCTCCGATAAAAACGGATTGACACAAGATTCTCCGGCTCAGATTCCCAAGTAATGAATAGTTTATAGCCTTCAGACGATTGGCTATTAAATTGTTTATAATTAATTTACCTGAGTTTTCTTATGTCTGGTTTTAAGTATTACTGATTAATGATGTAACTGATTAGATAAAAGGCAATTCTAACCGAAGATATCATCAACAACCAAGTTTTCTTCTTTCCAAATAAAATAAATAAATTAAAAGCTAAGAATTGTTTTATTTTTATGCAAAAATATTAATTGACAATTATGATTCGATATCATGAGTTCAAGAATTTGTCTTTTTTAAGTTGTAGAAACTTCTTTGTCAAATCAGATATCTCCAGCACTCTTGCTCTAGAAGTAAGGAGGAAATTTGACAGATATTTACTTGGTTAAAACAAAACCGCCTTTGACAAATGACGCTAAAGCAAACTTTCAAAAAATTCACGACACTCCAGTATTA